GAACGTCGAATCTGAATCACTTGAAATAAACACGGGGGTGCTTAACTTTTTTCCAGGTGTATATTTACAAATAACTTCTTAAACTTATTTTTCTTAAAACATAGAGCACTAAATAAAGAATTATAAAAAATAATTCTCTTCTAGTTATGAACTTTGAACACATTTTCTGCTTGCCATAGGTTGCTAAGCCTTATCAAATTTCACATATGGAGGGTGTGAAACGATATAATTTTTTAGGTCTTGTATATACATTTTGAAATAACCAGAAATCATAAATTATTATTTCAATACCATAGAATTCCACTATAATTTATTAGGCCTAGTAACTAAGCTGTATTTGGGTCTAAAAATATTGAATTTAGATCTCATTAAAGAGTTACCTTATCATTTGAAATCTGTCACAAAAAGAAAGGGTTTCCTGCATAAATACTTTGCAAAGGCTCAGAGAACCATGTGGGAGACTTTCTGAGCTTTTGATTGGTTATTCACATGTCGTAGACAGGAATAGGTGTACATAAGGAAGTGTTTTCAAAAATGTAAAGATGTGGGTGGGTCTACTGTGTTTGACCCAGTAATGTAGCAATATTTCACCAAATAGAAGACATTGGAGATTCTTATTTTAGATTCTGACTTTTCATTATTGGTAATTTGAGTTCCTAATTCGTAAGAAACTATAGGCTTTGTATTTGGACATTACAAACATCTAATTTGAACCAATGCTGTATTCAAAATACCACGTGACACACAAAAATTGATATTTAGGATTTATTTTTTAATATTTACTTTCAAATTAAGAAATTAACTAATGGATTGTACTAAAATTTGAATTATTATCTAGAATTTGATATCAAACTTATTGATACATTCATAAAATAGTAGTTCAATAAGATTTTGAATGCAAGTCAACAAACACGGACATGGCCTTTGATCCGTAGTGATAGGGTTAATTAAACAGGTTCAGGGATGACTGATCAGCTTCACCTGTCAGTTTATTTCCACCTTGTAAAATAAGGCAAAACAATCAGTAGTTTGAAGTGCAACTGCCTATTTTGTAATTTACAGATCTCAACTTATTGCCAGGAAAGTGTAAGATGTAGTGTTTGGAGACAGTCAACAGCCACTATCCAGAAAAAATGTATTAGATTTCCTATACCTGGAGTGAGAAGATTTTGTCTGTTTGTACAAAACTGTTCAAATACAAAACTATGTGTGAGAGAGTTTAATTCCACACTGAAAAGTACGATGAAAGAGAGTGAAATAATGTTTCAGTTATGTAGTTTTGCTTTCTGTTTATTTTTCAGTGTGATATTAACTTCTACTTTTTAATTTTACAGCCTGCATGCTGACAGTTCCTCACTCTAACCTATTTGTGTGTATATACTGTACAGGTGATTTTCCCATATTACTTAATAGTAATAACATTTATACAGTAGTTTATAGAACTTTTATAAATTTGTACTTTTGGATGTAATTTGTATGCTCCAATCATAGGCCTTGAATGAGCTTTCTTCTTGCATCTTTATGTTTTGCAAGAATTTTAATTAGTTTCATCTTCATAAGAAATGCACCAACAAGAGCTGATTCTGGTTCTAGAATCTTCTATTTATTCATCATTTTTCTTTGAGATATCTGGCAAGCAGTAGTCTATTCCCTTGTCTTCCCTTCTTTTCATGCTTCTCAATCTTCTATGTCTGCTGCTGCTTCTTGTTCCTTTCAACTCAGTCAAGTTGCAAAGTGTAGAAGTAAGCAGGTGGATCTACTTTAACTGCTCAATCTTGGAGTAGCTGAGTTCTTTTCTCAGGTTGGTCAAATACTAGCCCATACTTTCTGATGATCATCTCTTGCTTTTCATCAGTCTCATTGGTCCCTCTTGTGGAGTTGATTTATTTATCTATTCTCATCTCCTCAACAAATTCCTTTCTTTTTCATGTATTTGTTTCATGATCAGGTGCTATCAGCTTCTTCTGTAGCCGGTTATAGGGCTGCCTTATATGCCACCTTTGGATATGGTGGGATCCATCAAGCTCTTATCTCCAGTGTTCACAGATCTTTTCTGAGACTTTTATCTATAACAACTGGTTGTATACCTTATCCAAAGTGGGACTTTGGCTTAGTATGTTTCTTAACTTCTCCTTTTGAATTATTATTAACATTTTCACTCTGTTTTTTTTTTCAAGACATAATTTTTACTTATTTCAGGTACTAGACATTCAGATATCAATGCTGTTGATGCATCATGTATCTTCTTTTCTTGGAAGGCTCTATATTTGTATCCAGATAGAGCCTTCCTAGTTATGACATGAGCTGTTAGGAAAAGTTACCACTGTTTCTCACTTAATGCGTTACTTATCCTGACTGACTCAGTTACTCTTTCAAAGGATCAGTTTTATGTCCTGTCAGGGCTGTTTGTTGTTATCTTGCATGACCAAATGATTCAGATGGTGGGGGTATACCTTATGTTGAATCATGCTCTTCAGATGTTGCTCTGACAACTTTGACAAATTGGTTATCATAGTTAGTCAGTCTTATTTACAGTAATATACCCAACCACCTTATGAATGGATTTTATGTCATCAAAACAAAGTCTGCATTTGGTAATGTCTTTGGTGTTCTGGTCTAGTATTTTTTGGAGGATGTTCTGTAAGCTGGCATGTGACAAAAATCAAATACGTTTTTAAATGTTACTGACATTACTATCTCTTCTGCTTTTGGATTCTGTTTGGTGATACTTCAAACCAGATGAAATCCCTAACATATAAATTCATTTACACTCTTTAGAAAAAAAACAAACCTAATTGTCTCTATTTTGTAATATGAGACTGTGTGTTTAGGTAGATTTGTCAACTTAGGACCCTTGTATGTTGTCCTTTTATCTCTGATTGACCTAGACACTGTTCCACCCTCTATGCTGGTGCCTTAGAAGGTGATATAAGTGGACAGAGAATGCCATCATGTTGTGTATGGTGTCTTGGCAGATACCTTTTCCCACCTTCACAAGCATGTTCTTGCATAGCATTTCAATACACTGGAGATGTGGTAACCATTCTGTAGTGTATGTCTTGTAGCTCCAATCAGGATGTAGTATTCCATACAGCTTCATTTCTCTTTTGCTGATAGATCTGGGGAATTAGTAGAATTCAATAATGAATATATCATTGGGCTTATTCATCAGTTACTTTTAACTAATCAGTTATTCTCACATGAGACTTAGATAGTTGGAATAATGAAAAACAGTAATAATTAGAAACACTAATTTCATTTAGTTGATTATTTTCATAAAATGTATCAATTTAATTGTAATTTTGGTAATTACAAGTATATCATAGGTAATTGCTTATATTGATTAATCAAGTTAATTGCTGAGCTCTACTTGTCGCATTTTCAATTTTGGATTATGTGAACTTCAGCCTTAGGATTTCATCCAGTCACTACTTAATTCCACTGTGAATCTTCCTCATGAAGTACAGGAGAAGTCTTTGTGCTTTGACTATTGCTACCAGTCTAGCCTCCACCTAGGACCCATACGTAAGAATATGCATAGCAACCCAGGTACATCCTTGTCACTTGACCTCCTTTGATATTTTAAATAAAGAGTATTTAGGATGAAGAGGTACTCTGCTGAGAAGCACACTTTTCTTTCTGAGTGTCAACAATTCTATCCACTCAGTTCTTCCAGTTTTATCTAGTCCCATGCTTATCAATCTTGTTCTGGATTCTGCTAAAGCTGTGCTTGATCAAAAAAGCTATTGTGGTCAGGTGTGTTATCTTTGCTGTTCCAAGCTGAGCATCTGGTGATCCGATTATTTTTTATTACGACACTCTCTCGTTCCATCTAAGTATGGCTATTCTGGATTACATTATTTCAGAGGTATGTCTACCTGTTTTGAATTTTACATTATTAGAATTTAAATTAATTTCAAACCTATGTAATACATTACCACCCATCTCTCCACATTTGGAAGAAGTATTTGGAGGTTGAGTCTTATATCAAAACAATTATGGAACCTCGCATGGTTGGCTGATTTGCATATTAAAAATTGTTTAAATACATAACATCTCAGTACTCTGTATAATGTTGTCATGACTGCAAACTGTCTTTTGGTTGGAAAGTAGGGTTCGTATAAATTTCCCTGGCACTTACACAATAAATCATATTGAAGGTAAGACAATAGGAACTTTGTGTAAGGTGATGCATGTAATGCAGTATATCAAGGATATTCAGAATGAAATGAAAATGTACAGGTTTGAAAATATAAGATTACAAAACATGTTGCATTATTGATAATGTTATGATTTACTAATCATGAAAAAATATTACCCTCTGTTTTAAGATTTTTAAATATTGCTCACTTTGGAACTTATTTTTCTCTCATATTACAAATATACACAATTATGATGTGTCTGTTTTAGACAAAAGTTGCCCATTTTTGAAGCAAAAACATAAATATTTTATTTAAAAATAAGATTTGGCGTAGAAGGTAAGGATTGAAATGCATACAAGGTTTATTAGTGCATATTACAGTTTTTGACATTCACAACTCTGTATTTTGTTGATGAATATGTTCTGTCATAATTGCATATATTTAGTTGTTTTTTTTGCTGTTTACAAAATTCTATACATAAACCTAGCTAAAAGTAGGTGGTACAAATAAGTGCTTATTTTTTTTTGTTTAAAAATGTAATGATAGACTTTCATACAACTGTATTTCTGTTTGTTATTGTTTACAACTTGTTCTCCATTTTATGTTAACTTCAGTTTTGCTGTATTTCAGAGTATGTTTGATTTTTGATTTCAACACTGTGGATGTGGTGAGAAGAGGTTAATATCTAACAGCTGTACACTATCAGAGATGATGTTAGGAACTTGTTAATTACTCTAGTCAAGTGAACATCTGTTTTTGTAATCATGAAGTGCTCATCTCCGGTAATGAATTACAGAACAAAAAGCGAGTAAGTAATGATTACGTTTTGTTAGTTTAACTATATTTCAAAGATTTCTGCTGATATGAAATATATAAAAAACAATTAAATAGTAAAAGTGTGACATTTTGCTTTTAGATTGATTGTAATTCTTTATTTTACTATGTTTATTTTTACCTCATTTAATAGAGGACTGCAGATAAATAATTTTAACAGCTTCTGTTGGATCTAGCTGACAAAACTAATTAGGCCTAAAGTAACAATGAGTCTGAACTCTTGTTAAACATTGATATAGCATGAAATTTTAGCACAAAAGGACCTTTTGGTCCATTTAGGCCATCCCATCCACTAAACTAAACTTTTAAAATAAAGGCCCAACACTAGCTCTTTTCATTCAAGTCTTCATCAAGACTTCCCTTATATTTACTGCTTCCACCATACCTGAAGGCAACTCATTCCAAAAGCCAACTACCCTGTTAGAAAAAATAAAACTTTTAGCTGAAGATGATTCCTACCTTGCCAAAATTTATATTTGTGTCCCCTTGTCCTATCATTCTTACTATTAAATATGAAAAAAAGATGATGCATCAACTCTCTCAATTCCCTCAATAATCTTAAACACCTCAATTAAATCCCTTATCATTATTCTTTTTCCAAGAGAAAACATTTTCAGAAATCTTAAGCTGTTCTTGTATGACAACCTTTCCATTTCAGGTGTCCTCCTAGTAGCCTTCCTCTTACCCCTTTCCAATAATCCAGTGTCCTTCCTAAGGTAAGGAGAGCCCAAAACTGAAAACAGTACTCCAAACGTGGCCTAATCAGTGACCTATACAATGAAATTATAACCTCTTCATATTTGTTTTAAATATTTCTGTAGATACAATCTAAAATCCTATTGGCCCTACCACTAGCAACTATACACTGTTTGGATGGCTTAAGAGACTTATCAACCAGAACACAAAGATCCTTTTCATATGATAACTTGCATGCATTACCTTGCATTTATTGTAATTAAAAGCCATCTGCTATTTCAACACCCCAATTCATCAAATGACCTAAATTATGTTGAAAGCAACACCCAAGAAACAAACAACTCACTAATACATTGGTAGCGTGTTTACTATTGGATCTGAACTAGCATCATCATACAAACAGCTTAGACAACTTGCATTGGAACTTTTCACAGAGTATTGGTAGTCTAACATTCACTGAAAACAGAAGTTTGCTGTTGGGATTATCATGAAAGCTACTTAACATAATAGTTTCTCAATAATACAGCCATGCTATTGAAGGATGCATTCTGAAGTTCATTCTTATTCATATTAGTGTTCCTTATTAATTTACTTAAAAGGGTTAATGGCTTTTTGTAAATTAAAACATTTAACTTTTAGGATTTACTTCCTTTCTATGTACATATATAAATTGATACTCTAAAATAAAAACAAATGCACCATAGAAAAAAGTGGAAAAAAGTATCACTTTCCTGAAAATTGGACAATGACTTATCCATTACCAGTCATATTGCTGTGTTTCAAAATATACTTGTGTAGTTGATGACTGTGCCTTAAATATAGAGGCTAATGTTTTTCATTTTTCTAAGTCATATCAAGTAGTGGTTCTATGGTTTAGTTTTTTTATCTATATTTTTGTAACACAGAAAATTGTGTTGTATGTCTGCCTTGTCTTCAAATTGTACAATATGCAGCCTTTTAAGAATTTCCATTGGAACATAAAGCAATGCATGGTATGATAATTGTGGAATTTGATCTTCAATACTTAGCCACTTTATCTTAAACCAGAGCTTTATTTTGCTTTGATTTATTCGTACCACAATATTTATCTTAGTACGCTAACAATGTTCATATTGTAGCATTGTTTGAAAAGTTGAAGTAACATCTGGTTTATCTTTCTTGGTTTATACGAAGGAAATAAAGATAGGTCACAATGTAAGACACAATAAACAATCTTTATTATTTAAAACACAAACACAATGTGTGTAGTTCAGGGAACAAAATAGTTTGGTGGATTTGATTAGCAGAAACTGCTAATTAGTATTGAATTTGATTCGAAATTAGCTGTGGAAGCTGTCCGTGGCCTGATTCAAGGTGAGATCGAGTCCTTCATGCGGCCCAGGGGTATCTCTCCAGGAGGTACCAATTTGAATTTCCATTCTGAAACAGGATATTCCTGCTCCTTCTTTCACTAGAGCTTCCTTTCATGAAGATTCATCTGATCAGTTACCTTCTGCGCCTTTTTCTGCAGTTAGTTACGCGTGTTTGTGAAGTTTTGGAGATGCATCCAATTGCTTTTGAGTCTACCTCTGCTTTGTTGTTCGATCGTTCTCCAGAGGATTATTTAGTTTTTCCTCTATTTCCTGATACTGCTGTGCATGCAGGAAGGTTTGTAACACAATTACATGAGGGTGTTACTATGCCTCCCCGCCATTTATCTGAACAACAATTCCTGGCGTATTATCGTGAGGATGATATATATGTTTGGACACTCAAAGGTTGG